ACACACATCCAGAACACACACACACACACACACACATCCAGAACACACACACACACATCCACACATCCAGAACACACACACACACATCCAGAACACACACACACACATCCAGAACACACACACATCCAGAACACACACACACATCCAGAACACACACACACATCCAGAACACACACATCCAGAACACACACATCCAGAACACACACTGCCACACTGTCGATAATCGTTAAGCAAATGGCAATGTATGGTCACTTCCCAGTTTTCCCACAGGGCGGAAATGTCCCCCGTTAATAATGTGTCTCTAAAATGATGTTTCGTGCTTGCCTATGGACATTTTTGAATAAATGTCAGAATAAATTATCACCGTCACTGCCAAACGGAAGGCAAACTTTACAATACATTTGTCATTTGTTTGTTTTCAACGACTGATAGTGCTCATTGCAATGAAATTTTCGTGTTTCATTTTGAACATTTCTATGTGGCGTAGGTTTCATCTTTTGCGGCACATTTCCCTTCAAAACTCAGCTATGCAAACGATGTCTTAATATGTAACACAACAGCTGTTGCTTCATTCATTATTTCATAAAGAAAACTACGAAAAACAAGTGTACAAACGGCACACAAACAACTCGCTCTACTTCCCCACGACAGGCGATGAGCCGAGTTTGTCTTAGTCAGGTAATTACGTAGTTTACTAAAGCAAATTGTGGTGTAGTAATTAATTTTTTGGGGTGTTGATTCCGAATCTGAACTTTGCCAAAAAATATTTCCGTTGGAATTTGAGTTATAGCCCAAAAAATATGAAAAATAACATTTCCTTGTTTTTGCCTGTGTCTAAAAACTACTTCAGAGTTTAGGCAAAACGTACTCTTTACCAAACTGTTCTTCATACAAATTTCTAAACGTAATTTCTGTATGTTATATGTATATATGTTAGTTCCTAACAACTTTTCTCGTTATGCCCACCGTTTAGGTGTAATTGAAAGTTGAATTTTGGCAAATGTTTGCGGAACTTACACGCGGGTAGAAAAAAAGGCATTTTTTGTGTTTTTATTCGATTACCGTTGGCATAAAATCCTGGTATTAAACGTACCAGGATAACTTCGTCCTTGTACAAGGTGTATTCATGAGTGGCGTCTACGGCAGGGAGGTTTGAGGGTCACTACCCTCCCTAATAACACGTACATATCCATCTTTCTTTTCGCTTTTGTATATTATTTGATGGTAAAGTAGTTGTTCGCCTCTTTATACTCCTATTTCAGAATTCAAAAAACCCGGTTTCAAGTTCCGTGTTTCAATTCTTTGGTTAGGCGCGTTCGTGAACTGTGTCCTAATGCAATGTAGTGAAAAATGGCATTGCCGTAAACTCAATGCTTTGGAGTTGCGAAAATTTCAACATGGGGCTTGCAAATGGTGGCTGTCTGTGGGCGGAGACCGGAAACTTTGACACTTAGGAAATGCTTTCATGCAGCCTAATTGTCTAGATCTACCTACTGACGTTTTGTTGAGCACCGTCTCCAAACAACGTGTCCTCCGATTCGCCTTCAGGGTGCAGTAGTTCGCAAAACCTATTTCATGATAAGGTGTTAAGTCTTAAAATCTCTATGAATTCATCTCTAGTCTTAAAACTAACCATAAATGTATGTTATAATTAATGTCTTCATTGTGCGATTGAAATCTAAAAAATTTCAAAAATTTATTTGTTTCGCGTTTATTATATGTCCCTATAGTTTCCATCCCCTTTCCACATTTCCACCAACCATTCAAGAATTTTGCGCTCCCCCCCCCCCTCGAAGTTGTGTCTGGAGTCGCCACTAATCTTCATTAAAAACCTGGTAAATATACCAGAATCCTGGTACGTCTGGCAACACCGACAAAGAGTCCGAGAAAGGAGATAGCGCAGGGCCTTCTTGTGCGCATGCGCGGCTGTCAGCTGGTATAATCCAGGCTCCCCGATTATAGCTCCCAGCCTTGCCTATTCCCTTGTACGGAAACGGGAAAGAGGAGCCGAAAACATTTCATTTTCCTTCAACTAAAAAAATATTGAGAAAAAAATTGCACGCATTATGACTTACTTTGTTAAAAATACGAAACGACTTCACACTAACTGAAAACAAAGATACTAACTGCTAAGATACAACACCAAAAGACAAAGACCAACAAGCAAATTTTAAATTAATGTAAACCAATGTAAATTACAGTGGTGGCTCATGCCTAGAGCAGTTGTAACGCGGCCTTAAATATTTTTTTGTAAAGCTTCGCACAAAATGCGCCCAATTAGGAGGTCATTTTTTGTGTTATTTAAGGTCGCATCAACTTCTAGGTCATTAGCGACCACTATTGCTTGTAACGGTATGGTAACTGTGGGTTGACACGATAATGATGATGATAGGGGGTGAAAGGACGAACAAGATACAACCACGCCCGAGGCGGGACTCGAACCCGCGATCCTTCGGTCAGGGATCGCCACGGCACTACTACCTTGGCGATCTCGGCCATCCGAACCGGCAAAAGAGGTCATTGACACTAAATTCAACGACGCACGTTGAATATGCTAACAGAATAATCTAGTTCCCACCAGTTCGCCCGTCTACTAAAATCTGTGTCTTTCATTCTCCGATCTTGCGGCCACGAGAACTATTTATTTATTTACCGCCAAAAACTGTGTGAAGTGCTGCAGAGATAAGTGTATTCTGTGCACGATTTCTTAATTCTGAGATCCTTACCCTAAGCTGAAAGATTTGAATCCTGAATACAGAAGGACATGAACGTTTTTGGCAAGAATTGAATATATATATATAT